TATGTTTCTCTGTGCTGTAGTAGTAGCGTATGTCGATTTTTTCTTAGTTATTATCATTTTATTGTATCCTGGGACTCAATTCAAATTCTTATATATACATACATATATATATATATATATACACACACACATATATATACACACATTTTTTTTACAAAAGATTAGGTCCCATAGTTTTCTCCCAATAATTTTATTGGTTTAGGTTTAACATTTAGGTTTAACATTAGGTCTTTGATACATTTTAGGTAGTTTTTTGTTTGGTGTGAGGTATGGGTCTTGTTTCATTTTTCTACAGTTTTGCCAGCACCATTTATTAAAGAGAAAATTTCTACCCCATTGAATGGACTTTGACTCCTCTTTGAAAATCAGTTGTTCATAGATTGCTGAATTTATTTCTTGATTTTAAATTCTGTTCCACTGGTCTATCATTGAAATAATACCAGGCTGTTTTGATTAAAGTGTCTGTATACAGGTTGTTCCCAACTTGTGACTAATTCGAGTTACAAAGAACCACACTTACAGCTATTCTTTTTTTTTTTTAACATCTTATAAATTGTTTGTTTTATTGATCATTTCAAAGAACCAGCTTCTGATTTTGTTGATTCTTCCTACTATTTTCTATTTTGTTTATTTCTGCCCTGCCTTTTATTATTTCCTCATTTTCTGGTAGCTTTATGTTTCTTTTGTTCTTTTATCATTTTTTCAAGTTGTGTTCCATTTAAGTTACTGATTTTGAATCTTCTTTTGTAATGTGGCACAGTGGTTAAAAGCTATGGCGAGCTATGGATGCTAACCAAAAGGTTGGTAGTTCGAATCCACTAGCCACTCCTGGGAAACTATGGCACAGTGCAACTCTGTCCTACAGGCTCTCTATGAGTCAGAATTGACTTGACAGCAACGAGTTTTTTTTTTGGTTTTGTAATGTAGGCATTCATTGCTATGAATTTCCCTCTGACTACTTATTGCTTTAGCTGTGTCCCAAAAGTTTTGTTATGTTGTATTTTCATTTTTGTTTGATTCTAAGAATTTTTTAACTTCCCTTTTGATTTCTTCTATGACCCAACAGTTTTTTAGTAGTGTGTTACTTATTTAGTTTTCATGTATTTATTAATGTTTTTCCTTATTTTTCCTGTCGTTTCCTTCTAGCTTCATACTGCTATGGTCAGAGAAGATGCTTTGTATGATTTCAATCTTTTTTAAATTTGTTGAGCCTTCTTTTGTGTCTTAGCATATGGTCTATTCTGGAAAATGATCCATGTGTGCTGGAAAAAAATGTGTACTTTTCTGAAGATGGATGGGGTGTTCTATATGTGTCCATTATGCTAAATTGGCTTACGGTTATCTTCTTTCTTTTAATTTTCTGTTTTTTTGGAATGCTTATTGGTTAAATGTAGGACTTCCTGGAGC